AATCGCCGTACCCTATAAAATCTTCATTTTTGGAGCTATGGGAAAATTTCGGCCACCACTGTGTTCGTCTCATCGAGAAGCAGTAGCACATTCGAAAAAATCCGAGGTCAAGGTCATAGGTCAAGGTCAAGGTCACTTTAAACGTTAATTTTAGTCCCCGTACCCTATAAAATCTTCATTTTTGGAGCTATCGGAAAATTTCGGCCACCACTGTGTTCGTCTCATCAAGAAAAAGTAGCACATTCGAAAAAATCCGAGGTCAAGGTCATAGGTCAAGGTCAAGGTCACTTTAAACGTTAATTTTAGTCCCCGTACCCTATAAAATCTTCATTTTTGGAGCTATCGGAAAATTTCGGCCACCACTGTGTTCGTCTCATCGAGAAGCAGTAGCACATTCGAAAAAATCTGAGGTCAAGGTCATAGGTCAAGGTCAAGGTCACTTTAAACGTTAATTTTAGACCCCGTACCCTATAAAATCTTCATTTTTGGAGCTATCGGAAAATTTCGGCCACCACTGTGTTCGTCTCATCGAGAAGCAGTAGCACATTCGAAAAAATCCGAGGTCAAGGTCATAGGTCAAGGTCAAGGTCACTTTAAACGTTAATTTTAGTCCCCGTACCCTATAAAATCTTCATTTTTGGAGCTATCGGAAAATTTCGGCCACCACTGTGTTCGTCTCATCGAGAAGCAGTAGCACATTCGAAAAAATCCGAGGTCAAGGTCATAGGTCAAGGTCAAGGTCACTTTAAACGTTAATTTTAGTCCCCGTACCCTATAAAATCTTCATTTTTGGAGCTATCGGAAAATTTCGGCCACCACTGTGTTCGTCTCATCGAGAAGCAGTAGCACATTGGAAAAAATCTGAGGTCAAGGTCATAGGTCAAGGTCAAGGTCACTTTAAACGTTAATTTTAGTCCCCGTACCCTATAAAATCTTCATTTTTGGAGTTATCGGAAAATTTCGGCCACCACTGTGTTCGTCTCATCGAGAAGCAGTAGCACATTCGAAAAAATCCGAGGTTAAGGTCATAGGTCAAGGTCAAGGTCACTTTAAACGTTAATTTTCGTCCCCGTACCCTATAAAATCTTCATTTTTGGAGCTATCGGAAAATTTCGGCCACCACTGTGTTCGTCTCATCGAGAAGCAGTAGCACATTCGAAAAAATCCGAGGTCAAGGTCATAGGTCAAGGTCAAGGTCACTTTAAACGTTAATTTTAGTCCCCGTACCTTATAAAATCTTCATTTTTGGAGCTATCGGAAAATTTCGGCCACCACTGTGTTCGTCTCATCGAGAAGCAGTAGCACATTTGAAAAAATCCGAGGTCAAGGTCATAGGTCAAGGTCAAGGTCACTTTAAACGTTAATTTTAGTCCCCGTACCCTATAAAATCTTCATTTTGTTGAATGTGCTACTGCTTCTCGATGAGACGAACACAGTGGTGGCCGAAATTTTCCGATAGCTCCAAAAATGAAGATTTTATAGGGTACGGGGACTAAAATTAACGTTTAAAGTGACCTTGACATTGACCTATGACCTTGACCTCGGATTTTTTCGAATGTGCTACTGCTTCTCGATGAGACGAACACACTGGTGGTCGAATTTTTCAAATCGGACCATAAACAAAGATTCTACAGGGTACGCAGTATTTTGACCTCTCAAGGTCAAACGGTTTGACCTAGGAAAAAAAGGTCACCATTTTCGAACTCAGCGTGCCATGAGCTATCTGTATGCCAATTTTGAGCGAAATCATTACTCGAATTTGAATCCGAATTTTAACCTTTAAAGTGACCTTGACCTTGACCTATGACCTTGACCTCGGATTTTTTTGAATGTGCTACTGCTTCTCGATGAGACGAACACAGTGGTGGCCGAAATTTTCCGATAGCTCCAAAAATGAAGATTTTATAGGGTACGGGGACTAAAATTAACGTTTAAAGTGACCTTGACCTTGACCTATGACCTTGACCTCGGATTTTTTCGAATGTGCTACTGCTTCTCGATGAGACGAACACAGTGGTGGCCGAAATTTTCCGATAGCTCCAAAAATGAAGATTTTATAGGGTACGGGGACTAAAATTAACGTTTAAAGTGACCTTGACCTTGACCTATGACCTTGACCTCGGATTTTTTCAAATGTGCTACTGCTTCTCGATGAGACGAACACAGTGGTGGCCGAAATTTTCCGATAGCTCCAAAAATGAAGATTTTATAGGGTACGGGGACTAAAATTAACGTTTAAAGTGACCTTGACCTTGACCTATGACCTTGAACTCGGATTTTTTCAAATGTGCTACTGCTTCTCGATGAGACGAACACAGTGGTGGCCGAAATTTTCCGATAGCTCCAAAAATGAAGATTTTATAGGGTACGGGGACTAAAATTAACGTTTAAAGTGACCTTGACCTTGACCTATGACCTTGACCTCGGATTTTTTCGAATGTGCTACTGCTTCTCGATGAGACGAACACAGTGGTGGCCAAAATTTTCCGATAGCTCCAAAAATGAAGATTTTATAGGGTACGGGGACTAAAATTAACGTTTAAAGTGACCTTGACCTTGACCTATGACCTTGACCTTGGATTTTTTCAAATGTGCTACTGCTTCTCGATGAGACAAACACAGTGGTGGCCGAAATTTTCCGATAGCTCCAAAAATGAAGATTTTATAGGGTACGGGGACTAAAATTAACGTTTAAAGTGACCTTGACCTTGACCTATGACCTTGACCTCGGAGTTTTTCAAATGTGCTACTGCTTCTCGATGAGACGAACACAGTGGTGGCCGAAATTTTCCGATAGCTCCAAAAATGAAGATTTTATAGGGTACGGGGACTAAAATTAACGTTTAAAGTGACCTTGACCTTGACCTATGACCTTGACCTCGGATTTTTTCAAATGTGCTACTGCTTCTCGATGAGACGAACACAGTGGTGGCCGAAATTTTCCGATAGCTCCAAAAATGAAGATTTTATAGGGTACTGGGACTAAAATTAACGTTTAAAATGACCTTGACCTTGACCTATGACCTTGACCTCGGATTTTTTCAAATGTGCTACTGCTTCTCGATGAGACGAACACAGTGGTGGCCGAAATTTTCCGATAGCTCCAAAAATGAAGATTTTATAGGGTACGGCGATTTTTAAAATGACCTTGACTTTGACCTATGACCTTGACCTCGGATTTTTTTGAATGTGCTACTGCTTCTCGATGAGACGAACACACTGGTGGTCGAATTTTTCAAATCGGACCATAAACAAAGATTCTACAGGGTACGCAGTATTTTGACCTCCCAAGGTCAAACGGTTTGACCTAGGAAAAAAAGGTCACCATTTTCGAACTCAGCGTGCCATGGGCTATCTGTATGCCAATTTTGAGCGAAATCATTACTCGAATTTGAATCCGAATACGAATACGACGCTAACTTTATGGACATGAGGAACATGCTGATAAGCGTTTTATGTGTCATAACAGCACAAAAGTATTTCTAATCATTTTTCAAAAATAGCCGTTCTGCCGTATCTTTCAGTGCAAGGTGCCGTCGGTCATCCCCGACGTGACGTCACGCCGGGGATTTCCAGATTTTCCTACTAGACTTCGACGCCCCCTGAGTCAAACGTTTGAAATTACTTATAATAATGGTCGTTCGCGCGGTGAGGGTCGTTGGTTAATTCTTTTTTAGTTTTATGTGAAGATGTTGCAAAGCATAAAATGTTTAAAAGCATTTAACGCTGTTTATATGCTTTATCATAATTCATAACTAAGGTTTTACGAGAATCAGAATGGTTGGAATGCCATAGACTTCAAAAATTGTTCACTTACATCTGTGAAATTATATTTATACAATTAATATAGCCATACAAAATATAGGCACAATATAAATAAATATTTCACCGACGCTGCCAGCGCGCTCCCAGCACCTTTCACAAGCTGACGTCATGCTTATTGCTTTGCGGTTATCTTGGAGATACGACTTTGTTGATGTCTCCAAGGAAACCAAATTTGATGTGTGCTGGCCAGGGTATATTGATATGGTGCTGGCAGTGTGCTGGCAGAAGCTGTGAAACAGGGCCCTGATGGCACAGCTCATTTCATTATTTCATTAGTCTTACAGTTGGCAATCTCATTTCACTATGTATGGTAAAGTTAAAGTGACCATCCCACCTTAACACTAGTTTTGAGTTGAGATAGCCAAATTGGTGGCCATGGCCTGCAAATACCGGTTTGGGCACTCACAACATCAAAAAATGCTTTAATTCGGAGATATGGAATTTCAAACATGCAGTTTTCGGATTCTAAGGGGCTAATGCATTGAGATGCCCCCTTAGAATTTGTGACGTCAGCGGTGATCTAACGATTTTAAAACCTTATACTAACATCTTTGTGAAGCAGTGGTGGTATATGCTATTTGCGCGCAACATCTGCCGCAAATGCCGCACTTCCAAAATGAAATCGCTAGGAACAGCGGAGATCCCAAAAAAGTAAACAGAAGTAAAAGTCTAATTTCTTGAAAACCGATGAATATTTTTCGGTGAAATTTGGTAGATATTCGTTTTTTCTCTTTCTGAACCGAGCGACATCACTTTCATGCAAATTCGTTAACTTTTTTGAAGGTGGGAGGGTCCCTTTAACTTCATGATAATACATTTTGCAATTGGTACTACTACTGACCTTGCCTCATTGCTGCAACCATCAAGGAATTTGATAATGAACTGGTCATGCAGATCAGCAATTGATAGGATTCATGAAGTGTTGTGCTTCAGAACAAGAATGTGTTTTTCCAAAGAATTTGTATTTATTGGCAATAAGTAAAGTGCATCATCTATCTGGTCTCTCACTCTGTATACCAGATATATGTATATGGTATGCTTGCAGAGGTTTGCAGAGATCTGTGGTGGGCAACAATGTGCAGAGAAGCCAGAGATGTGGAGTGATGTGCCTCCAATAAGATACAATTGCACCCATTGTGTACCTACCTTATTTATGTTTGATGTCATTCTTTTTTTCAGATGCAGGCTGTCTTTGGGTGTTAAATTGAAGTCAAATGACGATTTAGCAAGCCAACTAATCTGTAATCTCCTGACAAGATCAGCAAATCACCAATGCTTCCTCTAAATTCCTGTGAAATGTTACATTTGGGACTGAAGAACCCTAAGGCACTATATATTTTCTTTTTCTCAAATTAGAGTTATTTAACACTGCATCACCTGATTGAGTAGCTACCCAAAATCACAAGGAGTACCTACTATTCATTACAATTCACTGCAGGTACTGGCTCAGGAATTTAGGAGCACAAGCGAAAGACGACTTCTTTCACCACCCTGAAGAATCCATCATGTCGATGGAGCGGCCGCTGCTGTCTGAGTGCCCCGGGACGGACGGCGGTGAGCCGGAGGCCCCGCTGCCGCCCGGCCGATGCGCCATGCTGTACCTGCTGACGGCGATAAGCGCCATCGGCGGCTTCCTGTTCGGCTACGACACGGGCGTGGTGTCGGGCGCCATGGTGCTGGTGCGCGCCGAGTTCCACCTCTCAGACACCTGGCACGAGCTGATCGTCTCGGCCACGGTCGGCACCGCCTGGCTGCTCTCGATGGCTGCCGGACCGCTGGCCGACCGGCTCGGCCGCCGGCCCGTCATACTGGCGGCCAGCGCGGCGTTCGGCGCCGGCGCGCTGCTGGCCGCGCTGGCCGGCTCTCAGCAGACGCTGCTGGCCGGCCGGCTGGTGCTGGGCGTCGGCATCGGGCTGGCCAGCAGCACGGTGCCGGTGCTGATCGCCGAGGCGGCGCCGGCCGAGGCGCGTGGCTTCCTCACCACCGTCAACATCGCGTTCACCACGGGCGGCCAGCTGGCGGCGGCGCTGCTGTGCGGCGCGCTGGCGGACGTCACCGACGGCTGGCGCTGGATGATGGGCGTGGCCGCGCTGCCGGCCGCCGTCCAGCTGCCCGGCCTGCTGGCGCTGCCCGAGTCGCCGCGGTTCCTGGTGACGCGCGGCCGGCGCAGCGAGGCGGCCGCCGCGCTCACCCGACTCCGGCCGACCGGCTTCCCCGTGCGCACCGAGCTGGCGCGGGTGGCGGCGCAGTGCGCGCGCGAGCAGCGCGGCCGGCGCGCGTGCGGCCCGACGGCGATGCTGCGCCGGCCGGCGGTGCGGCGCGCCCTGCTGCTCGGCTGTGGTCTGCAGGTGATACAGCAGCTGGCCGGTATCAACACGGTGATGTACTACAGCGCCAGCATTATCCAGATGTCGGGCGTGCGTGACCCGACCACGGCGATCTGGCTGGCGGCGCTGCCGGCAGCGGTTAATTTTGCCGGCACGCTGGTAGGTATGGCGCTAGTGGAGCGGGTGGGCCGCCGGCCGTTGACGCTGACCAGTCTGCTCGGCACGGCCGGCGCGCTGGCGCTGTTGGCGGCCGGATTCTGGGTGAACGCGGCCCAGTCTCTGCCAGTGACGGTGCCGGCCGAGTTCCCGCAGTGCCGCCAGTACAACTGCGCCTCGTGCCAATCGGCCGGCTGCGGGTTCTGTTTCGACGAGACGCCGGTCGGGCCGGCCAACGGCTCCTGCCTGCCGCTGCTCGCCGGTAACGCCTCTGCGCCGTCGGCCGAGTGCCGGGCTGCCCACCAGGTCTGGGCGGCCGACTGGTGTCCGGCGCCGCACTCTTGGCTGCCCGTGCTGGGGCTCTGCCTCTACCTGGTGGCGTTCGCTCCGGGCATGGGCCCCATGCCATGGACCATTAACGCCGAGATCTACCCGGCTTGGGCGCGCGGCTCGGGCAGCGGCCTGGCCGCCTCCTGCAACTGGCTGGCCAACCTGGCCGTGTCCCTGACCTTCCTGAGCCTAGTGGGAGCGCTGGGCCGTCCGGGCACGTTCCTGCTGTACGCGGCGGTGGCGGCCGCCGGCTGGCTGCTGCTGCTCCGCTGGCTGCCAGAGACCCGCGGTGTGCGGCTGGAGAACATGGCCGTCCTGTTCGGCGGAGACGGGGACGACCCGCCGCTGGACGAGGTGAGGGAGGTGGCATGGATGAGAGTGAGGAGAAGGAGAGTTAATGCCGAGGTGATGGGAGGGAATGGTGCTCCTAAATGTGACATGACAAGACTGTGCAGCAAGTTGATATGAAATTTATTGATAATGTGTCATGCATCGGTTCTTTCTCATTTTTTTTTCAGAAAAAAATAGTTTTTCCCCATCCTCAGTGTTTTCTTTACCGGGCTGTAGTTTGGGATATCTTGCTCTAAAGTCTGAAGTTTCGTGCCGCTGTTATAATCACATGCCATCAGCAGCGGCTGACCCCTGTCGTATCACCCCTCACAGGACGACTGCGAGCCGCCGCCGGAGGAGGACGCTGCGCTGCTCGGAGCCAACTCCTCCCCCGAGGGAAGTCCCCCCCCCCCGTCTGTCTGCGGGCGGACGGCTCACCCCCGACCTCCAGCCGCGGTGACCGCCCGGCGAACTGAACTGCCTGACCGGTCACTGCAGGGCGAGGCGGGTTCACAGGCTCCAGCGTCCCGCCATCCCCTGCCACAGCCCTAATGAGGCCAGTCGGGGTTCGGTAAAGTCTGCGATTGGAAGCCGGGCGACTACTTTACCGGCCGTGTAACGCGTCTACTTCGGTACCTGGGCGGTAGTTTGTATTATTTTTGGTGATATACGTAACGGTGGTGCTTATCTACTGCATGTGAGTTGTGCGCTGATCGTCATTGCGGGTATGAGTTTTATTCAAGCCTGTATTCCCAAGGTGGTAATCTCGTCTGAAGGAAATAAGTTGTGACATTCTGTGCTTCCCAGGCTCCTCGCCGTCTGTCAGGTTGTGTCAGGGCTCCGTGCAATTGAACACTCCGTTTTCGCTATTGCTTTTCGATCTTACGTTTTCTTGAGGCTTCATGAGTTTACGGGCAGTTTTGTGTATTATGTGTAAAATGCCAGTAGCAACGTCTTCCGCGCGATGAGTGCATCTTTTATCTTGTTTCCTCTTTTGTTGAGTTGTGCCGATCAAGAGACCACCGTCCCACTGTTTTCGTGGGCGGTGTATGTGATATGACAGTGAAGGTAGTTTATATGCCAGATTTACATCCAGTGCCTTCCATGATATCAATGGTGCGACCTTTCGCAATAAAAGCCAGTCGTATTGTCTCTGTAAGATGTATTGGGTGGGGTTCGAACGTGGCTGCAGCGGCTCTAAGGGCGACTCGCTGGCACAATCGCTATGGACACCACACACACCACGAAGACAGGTCGAGCAGAGGGCAGAGCGGCGGCCGACGGAGGGTCCCGGCTGGGGCGCGCGGGCGGCCGGGGTCCTCACCAGACTACAGAGAGGTCGGTCGGCCGCTCCTGATCAAACTACAGACTGAGGAAGGCAGCGTGAACTGGACGCCGGGAAGCGGCGGTGAGCTATACATCGAGCGAGGGAACTAGCTGGTGCGCTCCTCAGCGACGCAGCGCAGGCGGAGCGAGGCCGGGCAGAAGGCCCTATCAGAGAGCTGATTGGAATGACGGCGGAGGGCCGGATAGTATCTCACACTCCTCACAAACACACAGAGAGAAGCTCACAACGCGGACTCGCGTGCAGTGTGCATACGGAGTACCGCCGCCGGGGGAGACTGTAACGTCGCCACCCGGCCCTGCACCTTAGCCACCGACAAACCAACATTGACAGACGCGGCTATCCCACATTAGGTATACCATCGGGCCTGACCCCCGCTACCGAGATAAATATATAAATTAGGCCCCAAACGTCGTCACGGCGGCATAACATAACAATACGCGCAGCCGCCCGGACACGGCAGCTCCGGGCACCGGCGGAAAGAAGCCGAACGCAGCGCACTATCACACAAACAAGTATACGGCAATAAACAGAGTTCCAGCGCCCGCTCGGAGCGGACCTACCGTCCAACAAGATGGACTCGCCCTCCTCCGGCTCAGGACAGGCCTCCCCTCGGTCCGAATGGACTCGCCTGACCTCCAGCGATGTTCGGATGGTTTCAGCGGCGGGGCGCCTACTTGAGGTCCTCCTGAATGGTCTTCTTTATCCGGTTGAGCATCATGGTGGTCCACTGGTCAAGTCGCGAGATGGAGTCGTACTCGGTGACTGTCTCGGTGAACGCGTCCACATTCTCCTCCTCGAGGTGGGTCGATATGCTCTGAGGGAGGGGGAGTAAGAGTCAGAGTCACACCGGCGGGGGAGGAGCAGCAGGTCATAGTCAGTAGTCACCACCTCACCGCACCTGACTGAGGAAAGAGACACGTCTCTTCCTCCAGGTGGGTCGAGATGCTGCGACGGGGGAGGAGGGCATGGTAAGGTAACTGACCGGGGGAGGGCAGCTGCAGGGGTTAGCATCAACACCAGCGGCGGGGGATGGATGTCCACTGTCCAGAGCCCAGACCACGCGACAGGTGTTCATACACCGTGGTAGGACCATGTAGCTAGTCAGAAGAACTGACATTGAAACATGCTATATATAAACAACAGTCCGCCTCAGAAGCAAAGTTTCGGGTTCCCGAACAACGTACCCGGACGTTACACGTAAAACATCACTGGAGAAAACTGCCGTCGGGAGGAAAAAAAGCCGTAAATCGCATGAAAAACTGCCCCAGATACGGCTTTTTTCCTCCCGACGGCAAAAGTCAGTAGGATTTAAAAAGAAAAACAGTATAAGTAGTTTCCGTACCATTAAGCAACACTCTAGGGTGAAGCTGGCGCTGAAGGAAGAAGGCATCAAGTACAAGAAAGGTTGGTCATTGAAAATGGAGGCAGATGAAGTGTCCACGTTAAAACGAAGCCGATTTAGGACTAGGGATTGAACAAATATACCAAATGACTGAGATTACATATAGTTTAATGTATCCCACCTGGGATACATTAGCTATCCCAGGTGGGATAGCCCACTCGTTCAACTGCGGCAGCAACCAGGCCAGGGCCATCAGACCCGCCAGTCGTATCCACCGGTCCACAGAGTGGCGTGACGGCCGACCATCCGAGACAAACCCGGAGTCCCGGCCCGGCCGCCCGGAGTCCCACAACACGCACCTTGATGAGTTTGCACTCGCGCGAGTCCTGGAAGGCGGGGTACATCTCCTGGTAGCGCGTCAGGGCGTTGTTGGCGTTGATGACGTCGATGCAGAGATGGCACAGCAGCGCCCGGAAGAAGTAGTCCTTGGCGCTATACTTGAGCAGCGAACTCTCCAGTGAGGTAGCCGCCACCTGCAGGCAGCGGGCGCGATCAACGGCATCGTTCGAGATATCACAACACAAAGACCTCATACTTTCATATAGCAGAGACGTTCAGATTCTTATCCGCATGACACTAGGTTGCTGCTGTAACATAGTAAATCGGTATATTTTAGTTCGTTCATCGTCCGTTACCTACCGTCATACCAACCAAGTTGACTACGATATAGGTCTTTGGCTGGTCATCCGTTGAACATGCTGAAACGCAAGACTTACCGGTCCGAGCTATAAAGGCGACCCGTTACACATCCACGTGCAAGACCAAATCCGTCATGCGGTATTGCATGTCAGTTATATTATTCATAGCTAATTAACATTCAACGCATGACGGTTCCAGTTCTTTGAGACTTTGGGACTTGGGAGTATCTTAGCATATTTTGTTGAGCAAAAATACCGTAACCTATACATTGGCCGATGAACCTGAATGATAAGCCAGCCCTATCGTCCGACAAAGCGGTCTGTCAGCTTTGTCGATATAGGTCTTTCATAGGTCGATATAGGTCGAACCCCCCCCCCCCCCCTCCTGGCATGGAAGTTGACGTGGGTCGATGGGATGGCCGCCACTTGTGTGGTTTGGTGTGTTCTGCGGTCTGGCACAGCTGCTGCCGCCTCAGAGAGCACGAAACAAACGAGCTGGGCAAGGCCAAGGCAAGGCTAACATATCGCTGAATGTTTACTCAGAAATGTCGCATCGTCGAAACTCAATCGATGCCACAGACACCTTTGGCTGCGCTAAAATCAAGAAAGTTGCTTTGACGAAGATCTGAACCCAGAAGCACGGTTACATCGCCTACATCTTTTAATCAGCGTGTACGGATCATCATAAAGCTGCAAAAGCCAAAAGGTGCTTCATACCTAAAAACGCAGAATTAGCTGTTCGAAGCCAAATTAATAGGTACATTTGGGAGCTGGTATGAGGAGCCAAGAAATTCCTAACCAAAAGTATGGGTGCGCCAACAGGAGCCACGCACCAACACTTTCTGTTCACGCACCCACACCCGAAACAAACGCATCACGATCCTTTTTTTCTGACAGACAGACAATGACAATACAATAGCAATGCAAATTCTCATTGTCATTGTCTGTGATAAAAAATGTCAACTCTGACTTATAATCACGATCTATATAATAATCATGACATCCAATGTTTTATGCCGTCCCGAGGAGAGTAGGCCGCCGGCCGGTGCTCTCACCTGGTCGTAGATGCTGATGGCCTTTTCGTAGTCCTTCATTTCGGCGGCGTACTGCGCCACCTTCAGCTGGCACTTGTTGGCGGAGGAGGTGGACTCCTCGCCGCGGAAAAAGTCAGCCGCCTTCTCGTAGTGTTTGATGCACTTTTCCAGGTCGACCTTTTCGGTCTCGTAGATCTCGGCGATGGTCTGGTGGTGTTTGGCAGCCACCGTGAAGCGGCCCATGTCGGTGAATATGTCGATGGCCTTCATCAACGTCGTTACTGCCTCTGTGGGACGGAGTGGAACATTTCGTAAAATGGTCGAGAATGGAACCAGAGTTTTTATTTTACGTCCCTAAAAAAACTCGCTGCCTATCCTCACAGCAAATAAGTGAGCACCACCTCGACCCCGAACCAAAGCTCAAACCACCTGCATTTCCTACAGCATTTCCTGAATGCTTTCCGGAACTATATGTGGAGAGCGAACGAGGTGTCAGTCAGCGTACGAGACGTCAGTCAGCTGTCAACGGACCTGTGGGGGCAACCTTCTTGTAGCAGTTTGCTGCATCGACAAAGTTGGTGGCTGCATCATGGCGGTTCTGGTTCTTCAAGCTGAGGTTGGCAACCTCACAGAAGGCATCGCCAGCCTTGCTCCAGTTCTTGGACATCTTGAACATGTTGGCGGCGCGGTGGTACATCTCGGAGGCCTCCTCCACCTTTGAGCCTCCACTGTGGGTCATACACCGGTGGTCAGAAAGCGCTCTGTCTCAATCACCTTTCTATCAGATAATTAACTCTTACTCATAGGTGATGCCATTTTGGTAATGGGTGCAAATGACCTCCGTAATTAACCCGCTCATCTAAGCCCCCTGCCCCTCCTGTTGTGACGAGCACATGCTAATGGAGAAGGCCGGAGAGGCAGGTTTCTCACTTTTGAGTTTAGCCTCTGTCTGTTCGAGTGTATTGGTATGCCAAGGATGCCAATGGGTTGATGTTAAGAACAGATAAAACATTGTCAGTCGGGGAAACTATGGTAAAATCTGCTATTTTTAGCAGTCTGCTATTTTTAGCAGTCTGCTATTTTTAGCAGAAATCTGCTAAAAATGGGTACGCATGTGACGTCATCGTACCCAAATATAGCAGATTTGGGTACGGCCCCCGACAAAAGCAGATCTGCACCCTAATTGAAGCAAATGCGCATCAAATGCCTGGCAGATTCATGATTAGAATAGTGCTGAGAATGTCCTCTGATATTTTTGTTCAGATCCGACTATTTTTAAATAATGAATTTGAAATAGTCGGATCTGAACAAAAATAGCAGAGAACACTCTCAGCACTATTCTCATCATGAATCTGCCAGGCATTTGATGCGCATTTGCTTCAATTAGGGTGCAGATCTGCTTTTGTATGGGGCCGTACCCAAATCTGCTATATTTGGGTACGATGACGTCACATGCGTACCCATTTTTAGCAGATTTCTGCTAAAAATAGCAGACTGCTAAAAATAGCAGATTTTACCATAGTTTCCTCGACTGTTGTACATTGTAAGTGCCACCTACTCTTTGCATCACATGCCACTCGAGAGCCAATCAAACTGCCTACACAATGCTTTTTCCTGTGCTAATGAGACGCCCAGCCACACACTCATACTTTTATATTTCGCCAGGACCTGACCTGCCTCGACTTTTCACCCCATTAACTTTTCGCCTAATTTTTGCACTGTAACTATATTTTTGAATATATAAAGACTACCTCCATAATACCTGATACCTGATACCTGATTAATGGGATCGGATGAGGCACTAGGATGGCCTGGTAGATCCGTCTAATCGAGCTCGGGACGCGTCAACAAGCTTGATCTATTGGTTTGCTTGATACTGGAGTTCTCTCCAGTGCTTGTCAAGCCGGTTTTTGTAGCTGTTGGTTGACGGTGCGCAGACAACATCTTCAGGGAGGCCGTTCCAATCAGTCACTACCCGGGCTGAAAGGTGCTGGCGCCTGACTCGGTTGGTTGCAGGCTTCTTGGCGATCTTCAATCTGTGGCCGCGAGTACGCGTTGTGAGTGCAGGCGTGAAGAAGTCGTCCTTGTTCAAGTCGCAGCGACCGTGGATGATGTTGTAGGTCGTGATCATATCGCCGCGACGGCGCCGGTGTTGCAGGGACGGAAGGTTCAGTCTTCTCAGCCTTTCCTCATACGGGAGGTGACGGAGCTCGGGGACAAGGCGAGTCGCTCTCCTTTGTACTCTCTCGACCTGTCGCCTGTCCGCAGCATTGAACGGGCCCCATATCTGATTACAATACTCCAAGTGCGGACGGACCAGTGATTTGTAGAGTACGGGAAGCGTCTTTCTGTCGATGTGCGCGAAGCTGTGCTTGATTAGTCCAAGCATTCGGTTGGCCTTACCGATGGCAGCTGCTGCTTGTTCCCTGAATTTCAGCCGTTGATCCACGAGAACGCCCAGGTCCTTCTCGATTTCTACCGCCTCCAGGGGTGTGCCTGCGATGGAGTATTCAGCCCGCGCATTACGACTGCCTAGGTGCAAGACCGTGCATTTCGTTGGGTTAAAAGGGAGTCTCCATCTGCGGGACCAGGCCGCCAGGGCATCCAGGTCATTCTGCAGTCTTGTGCGGCTTTGTTCAGTGCTAGCTTCAACGTAAACCTTCGTGTCGTCGGCGAAAAGCCTGCAATCACTGGTAACAGCTCGCGGCAGATCGTTCACGAAGATGATGAATAGCACCGGTCCCAGGACCGTTCCCTGCGGGATGCCGCTGCCAACATCAGTCCAGCCGGAGAAGCTCCCATTCACCACAACTCTTTGTCTTCTTCCCATCAAAAACGAACGGAGCCAGTCGAGAAGACCGCCCCGGACGCCCATGTCGTGGAGCTTTTGAATGAGCCGGAGGTGAGGGACCGAATCAAATGCTCGCCGGAAGTCAAGGTAGGCGATATCCACGGGCTTACCTTCCTCCATCTGCCGGGTCCAGTCCTCGAGTGCACTCAACAGTTGTGTTGCACAGGATCGTCCGGGTCGGAAACCATGCTGGCAGTCGGTTAGTTGGCCGGTGTCCGTTAGATGTCTGAACAGCTCGTCACGCACGATGGACTCCAAAACCTTTGATGTCACCGACGTCAAGCTAACAGGACGGTAGTTGGATGGGTTGGTACGTGGCCCCTTCTTGTATATGGGGACGACCTGGCCCTTCTTCCACTCGAAAGGAACCCTGCCAGCTTCCAGTGAGTGATTGAATAGATCGGTCAGTGGTGGGCTCAGAGAGGATGCTAACTCCCTAAGAACTCTGGGATGCACCTTATCAGGACCAGGGGATGATGTCGGGCGAAGGTCGCGAAGCTTGGCCTCCACTTGACCAGGTGTAACTTGAACCGTCTCAAGAAGCGGACCCTGGTAGTTGGAGTTCAGACATGGAACATCTGAGGGGTCTTCGTCCCAGCAGAATACTTTGCTATACGAGTCAGCTAGGACCATAGCTTTGTCAGCATCTGAGTTTGCGACCTCGCCGGTTTCGGTGACCAAGTCATCCACTCTACTCTTGGTCTTTAGCCGGGAGTGAACGTAGCGCCAGAAGGCCTTTGGATTTGTAGAGAGGTTCGCCGCCAGTTGGCGTTCAAAGTCTCTACGCAGGCGTCTGGTAACGGCCCTCAGCTCTGCTCTGACTCTTGTAAACTGGTAGTAGTCGGTGGTGCACTTTGTCCGAACATATTCTCGCCATGCCTTTTTCTTACGACTTTGAAGAGTGATAGCTTCCCTGGTCATATAAAGTTTGTTCTTGCGCCCTGGTGGGTGATTTAATGGAATGCCACGGTCGCAGATTGCAGTTAGCCTGTCTAGAAACACTGCGTAGTGTTCGTCGACAGAGCAGTCTTCAGGGACACTCCAGTCGGCCTCGCGCACCATATGGTTCATCATACCATAATTTCCGCGGTGAAAAGCCGGCTTCCGCGTCGTCGTGGGGTTTCTGGTGTAGCAGCGTATGCCAAACTCCAGAACGGCATGGTCACTACATCCAAGGGGAGGAAGAACATTGAGGTCACATACCATGTCCTCCTCGTTACTCAACACCAGGTCAAGAATGTGGGGTGTTTGGCCCGGCCGGAACCTCGTTGGGGACATCACATGTTGTGTGAGGAAATTGTCCCTTATCACCTCAACAAAGTCATGGGTCCAGTGCCCATCTGGAGCCTTGGGTATTCCTGTCAACCAGTCTATCTCAGGTGCGTTGAAGTCGCCAGTTATGATCAGGTGACTGGGCCGTGTAGATGTTACACAGTTAAGGAGTGCGCCCAACTGGTGGGTTGACTCCCGTAGGCTCGACGGGCTTCTATAGATGCAGCCGACAAGCAGGGTATCGGCTCCCAACAGACGGATCCTCACCCATAAGTGCTCTCTGAAGTGTGTTTCAAACTTGGCTTCTGAGCAGGATAGGGGCTCTCTGACGTAAATACAGATACCGCGGGGTCTCATGGTCCCTTCATTTTGTTCTTCAGAACTAAAGTTAAAAAACGAATGGTATCCAGGGATTGAAAATCTTGCAAGAGGGATGGGGTTAAACAAGGCTTTAGGTAGAGCTTCGGTGATTAGGATAATGTCCGGCTCCACACCAGCTATCCTCAAACATAGTTCATCGCGCTTATTAACTAGCTGGTCGGCGTTCGTGTACATACACTTGAGCATATTTTTTTCATGCCCTAGTCAATTCTGAGTAGGCCCAGCTTCCCCAGTCACTCTCTGCTGTTCACTGTTCTCTGTGTTTGGTGCTTTGTTGCGTGCAACAGCTGGCTGAGTCGGCAGCTGGTCCTTGCTACTTGCTTGTCCTTGTCTGGCTAGTCCCTCCTGTCTGTGACCTGGTGGTGGAACTGAGCTGGTGGGAGGAGGAGCAAGAACAGCCACCTGCCCTGGGTTGTTTGCTGCAGCTGTGGCAGCCTGCTGTTGGACAGGACAAGGGGTGGGGGTTTCAGTCATCATGCTAACAATTCTCCCTCTCCTGATGACCAGGCCAGTTTCACCATTCCTCTTACGCCTGGCCAGTTCGTGGCGCAATTTCTTTCCTTCATCCCTTTCCTCCTTGGTGAGGTCTGGGTTGATGTATATGTTGGTGAACCCAGGGGTATTCCTGAGCTGGGGTGCCATTTTGATCAGCTCCCACTTAGCAGCTTCTGAGTCAAGGGTAGCTACAATGAGTCTTGGCTTCTCTGGGTCATTGCTGGATTTGCCTGCTCTGAAGGACTTGGTGATTCCGACTTGGAGCTGGAATATGTCTCTGATAAGAGCTGTCAATCTTGCTCTGTCATTTGCCATCTTTTCCTCATGTGAGTTTCCATTGGGTTCCTTGAGATTGTGCACTACAATGTTACACCTCCTCTTCTCTTTGTCAGAAAGCACGTTGATGATTTCTCTGGCTGTTGCTGATGGCCTGGTCTGTGCTGAGGCTGATGGCAAGTCATGTATTTTCTTTTCCAGGTTCTTAACAACATCAGCATATGTTCCCTTCTGTTTTTCTTGCTCTTTAACAAGCTGCTTGTGGCTGTTTAGCATGGTTTTGCTTAGGTTGGCTAGCTCTGACATGAGTCGAGCCTGCTCACAGTTAGCTTGTTCAAGCATCTGTCTGTGTAGGTGTAGAGATTCAGCCATTGCAGATGTCTGCTTCGTAACAACTTCCATAAGCTCCTCAAAGTGTTTTTGGTGAGAGACTGTCAGTGTTTCCACCTGGGCTTGGAGTTGGGCGTCACGTTCTTTCAGCTTATCAGTGCAAGCTATGTGGTCTCCCGGGTCAATTTTGAGTTCTGCTTTGCAATCTGCACAAAGCCACAGTAGGTCTTTGTGCAGACCTGCCACTCTGTATGTGGCTAAAGGGACACCTTGACAGGTGCAGTGGTACCAATTGTCGCATTTGTCACATTGGAGGGCTTCGTCTCTGTTACTAACTGTTATGCCACAATCCTTGGATGGGCCTCCTTTGCAAACAGCACTAGCAGTGACACTTTCAGCTGAGCTGCCAGCCCTAGACCGACAACCGAATGGTTTGTACATTTCCTCTCCCAATTTTTGCACTGTTGGTGCACAGTGATTCGGGGGACTGTTTGCAGTGTGGGTTTCACGCCCTGACCCTGGAGATGCGTCCAGTGCCTCCAAATCACTGTCCGATAAGCTGTCATGAAAAACAGATCCTTTGCCTGGTTTGGTTCCAAGTTGTTTTGTGGTTACTTTCTGTTCTTCTGTGCGGACGCTCTGGTCCTGATCACCCATACTATTACCACGAGTGGTTACAGCTTGGTCCGGATTGGGTACAAAGTGCTCACTCACCTCCGTTGCAGGGGAAGACATAAGAGTCTGGCAGTCTGATGGTGCATGTCCTACAACAACTGCTAATTTTGCATCTGATGCCTTACCATTGAGCTTCAGCCCCTTTTCCTTGCCTTTTTCTTGTACCACACTTTCAGCACTATCACAATCGCCATCACAGTTTGAGTTTGGGCGTCCTCTCGCCGCATTTGTCCGCCGCAAACTGCGCCGCTCCATGACACACCTAGCGGTAAACTTCCAAACTTCAAAAATTGCTTTGTTCAAAAGTAAAGCTTATTTGAGTTTTCTTGTTGCTTCACATTCACAAATAATGATTAAACTTCCAAATATTTTCTCTTGATTTCTTGAAGTTTGATTCTTCGCAGTCCCGGAGCTCTTTGACGCACGTCCACCCAGGCCGGGGTCAGGAAGGGAAGTCATTTTTTGTATCATAATGTATCATTTTTTATATTTATGCAGTATTTGCAGCGCAATGTTGAACATGAAATGTCATATTGGAATAAAGACGTACCCAAACAATGAGCCGAGGAAGCCTTTTGAAGAATCCAGCTTCTTCTTAGCGTCAGCCATAAGCTGTCTAGCTTTATCCTCTTCACTCATAACTTCTTTCTTATATCTTCCTAGGAGAACGAAAGCAAAGAATCAATATGGAATGGGGCTTGAAGAAAAGATCTTCAAAGGCTAGCAACAATACAATCCACTTCGCACATACGCAGAATACATCGATGAATCAACTCTTGTGGGCAGCACACGTAAACAATGAAAAATCGTAAGTGGTCTAAAGTTAAAAATATGATGTCATTTTCTATATTTCCGATGCAATGATTCGTTAATATTTGACTTACAGCTAGTTAGTGACGTCAGAGATGCCAAGCGAGCGAATTTGCGCCGTTATTGTAGATATTTTTGCGCGACTTTTCTGATTGATTTTCTTTTGAAATCTTATTTTTGGATACCTTCCCTTTATTTCGGAGACTTTTCTAAAAGTGATCTTGATAGATTCACTTGAAAACTTTCCATTATTTTCATGGTAATTTGACTCACAGTAAGATGAGACTCAATAATTACTAGTTCTGTAAATAATATACGATGAAATAAGAACAGTGAAGTGGTTACCTTGCCCACCAAAGTCTCTATCGAATTCCCGATTTCCCCAGTTTTCCCAGTCATCGAACACTTCCTACTTATTTCCAACTTATTTTGTACTTATGATCTAGGCGTATACAACCGGTGAAGGTGAAACGCTTGGTGAAACGCATCAGCATTGGTTGCTGTGGTTGTTGTGTGTTAAATAATCGGACGTATACCGATAGTGGCTTGAGTTAAATTTGATATTATACAATACCATTGAACTGCTTGAAAGATCGTTGCTTGAAGTTGAAGTGTGATCGGCTGTACACGAATGAGCATCTAATTTTGAGCTGAAATCGATTTCGACTATCCAACAACTTACTTGAACTGAAACTGACGGGAACTGTTGAGACTTTGGAAAGTGTTTCAGGAACTGAAGAAAATGGCATTCACCTTTGCTGCTTTTTCTTACATTTTGGCTCTGATATTTGATGCTGTGCTCATCTTTTTTGCCATCTTTCATGTAAGTATTTTCTGAAAATTTGTATTTTATCAATATTTGATTCAGTATAATGCACCATCATCCTGTTCCGCTGGTGGGTCCAAACCAGCAACCCCTACTAACACAGTTCGACCTCCACTTAGTCCAGAAATTGGTATAACATTACGTTAATAATTCCTTCTCGCAAAACCTGGAGCTGGAGCTGCCTTTGCAGGCTTTTCAGGGCTGCTGCATAATATCTTTAAAAAAAATGTCTCAAGGCTCTAGCAACTTGATTGACACTCCAGAGTTCACCCCACAGCATATGTCCATTCATGCAACTTTTGTCTTACCATAAACATCTTTTATGCATGTGTGATCCAATCCAGAGCAGGAATAGTTTTGACTCATGCTAAGTACCTACCAGATGCAGGCTTAGTTGTAGTGGATCTTTGTTCAGTTTCCCTGCTGATTCAGGACCATGTATTTGGTACATTACTCCCACTGCTCATGTTAGTGGATCCATTGATAGTTGTTCTTTTCACCTTTCAGATAATTGCCTTTGATGAGCTGAAAACTGACTACAAGAACCCAATTGACCAGTGCAACAGTCTCAACCCGGTGAGTTGGCTTAGTGAGCTATCAGATTATTGGTATAGATACAGACTTCGCTAGAATATCCCAACAGTCAATAGTTAACCCTCGCCCGTATAGGTGGGGGGGGGGGGTCGAACGGACCTCCCCTCGGTTTTTCCAGCTGCCGGACACTGGTCACGTGACCACATTTTCCGTTTGACCTTGAGTTGGCACCAGATTTTGTCGACAGACGTGGCGCAGCTTATTTTACTGCATTATTTTAGATACTAAATATTTAGACGCGTGGTGGTAAATGATACCGTGCAAATAATATTGAATCATCGGTGACATAGTTACCATTGATACTTGAATAGCATCAATAAAATACAATTAATCTATTCTTACTCTTCCATTGATTTTATTGAGTTTGCAGGCATAGGTAGAAACTGAAGAGCTGAGCCTGCAGCTTACAGTTGTTCTATACAGTAGCGGCGGAACAGCTTCAATTAAGGGGGGGGGGGGGGCACTGCCGACTTTCGGTCCGATTCTTTCCATGCAACGCCAATAGGGCTAATGTTAAAATGCCAAAATTAAAGGGGGCACGGTGCCCCAGTGCCCTCCCCGTTCCGCCGCCTATGGTTCTATAACTCTAAATGCATAAATCAATGCTACTGAGGGCTGCAAATTTGTTTCACTTATCTTTAATATAACTGATGCCCTATACCTTCATCTACCATTATCTGTAAGAATCTTGTGTCAATCATCACCAGACTTCTTAGTTGTTTTACATACCTACGCCCCGGCCGCGAGAGTGGGCGGGTACGACTCCCTCGCCCTAATTGAGCTAGCCTCGCGGGAAAAACAAGCATGTGTGCCGTTACGGGACCGGGGACGCAGCGATTGATGCACGGTTAAAAAGTCTCAGGTTAACTGGTGGCCTCTGAGGGTCAGGTCAAGTGCCCCGAGGGCCAAAATACGATTTCGGGTTTGAGAAATAACTGCCAAAAAACGGCGCAGAGTCGCGATTTTAGTACCATCATGTTTGTCATGCTCCGGTGCGTCAAAATGGTACACTTTTGTTTGGGTGGGGTCAACATAAGGTGTTCACATCGGGTCAAAGCCAGGTCAGAGGCACTCAGGCCACGAAGTTGGTCGGAGGAGTTATATCGTATATCATTCGATTCGGTAGGTCTTCCCGAGTCTATTGGCGACTTTTCCGACTTGCCAGTTCAATTTTATCAGGAGTTATTGACGAAAAAAACTTGTGACCTTTGTGACGTCAAATGACGTCACGCTAGGTTAAAGATGCAAGAGTGAAGCATTGGACATTGCAAGAATTGCATGTAATTGCGATTCCATGTGCTTGAGCTAGGTTTAGATCATCCTCGGCGTCAAAATTACAGTTTCCATATTTCCCCATTGACTTATAATGGTGATGTCACGCGATCGGCCTGACCTCATGTGACCTCTAGGAGAAATCCGAGATATACAAGTTTTGAGACTCCTAGAGGATACTAGGTCCTGTAAGCATCATCTTGCTGTGACAGCTCCTCTGGCAACGAGGGCATTGCGAAGTTTCGGTATTTTGGGACTATTGCAGAGGTTCACGTGTGACGTCATAAGTCAGTGATCTGACCTGAGACGGAAATGCAATTGGTTTCCAAAGATGCGTATGGAAGCAAAGATAAGGTGCGCCAAATAGCAGCCCTCTAGCTGTAAGGTGTTTTGAGCTATCGCCAAAAGTCGTGAGTGGAGCGCTACTGACTCCTCCGGTCGGCCGCTGGGGGTTAGGAGGCGTGCAGGGTATCGGAAAACCACCTGGTACTTTGCGAATTTTGCCGATAAAAATACGTTTCTTATGCCGACTTATAGCCAAAAGACTACTGAATCTCAAACCAGTCGTATCCTTGCACTAGATGGCTTGGTTTAGACACGTTAGGTCTGAAAAGAAAAGGTCCCATGTATTCTCTATGGGCGCCGCGAGGCCGTTGGCACCGGAGTTTCGGGAAGTGCCCTCGCCACAACCGCACGTGCAGATTTGGTCACGTGACCAAGCGCATTTGCCGCCACTGTATTTATATACACTGTGGGTTTTTCGAGAATAACTCGCGTAAAAAGCGGCCGATCGCGACGAAACTTTCAGTACCCTCGAGTTGATCAATTTTACACCTACTCTCATGGGTGTAGAAACGTTTTCAAAGTTGGTGTGGAGTTTACAGCTATTCTCGAAAACTACCCTCCATTTTTTTGCAGACCCCAAAATCTCATCGGATCTGCATCGATCTCAGGGGGTACTCGGTCGGAAGTTGGGGGAGGCAAACTGCCCCGCTTGTCCCCCCCCCCCCGTGGCGACGCTGATGGTGTTGAAAGTCTTCATTGGCTAGAAGAGCTTAGAGGAGGTTTGAGCAATCACTAGAACAGACCCTATCATGCTCATGCTCGGGTGGAAACGCCAATCAGCTCGTTTATCGCCTTGCCAATCAGCTCATTAGACCGGGAACAGGGGGAGCGAGGGCGATTGCCCCCAGCCTAAGAGCCGAGGGGTGACGTCTCCCAACATTCATGCGACGAGGACAGATCTTTCCTCTTTTTGATGATGACTACACCGAATAGTAAGCAGGAAACTGAAATGGTCGAATTTCGACTCGTCACTCGAAGAGAGGGTCCGTCATTGGAACAAAGCGTAAATACCGCTCAGTGTTCGGCCCTAAGAAGACCCTATCATCCTGCCTTATCTATGAACTCATTCATAGTTTCGTCGCAACCGGCAAAACGCCAGAAAAAGTGTAATATGCGCACAGCGTAATGTGCGTACAGGGCATGCGTATTTGGCTCCCTGTCCTTCGAGGTCCTGAGAATGACAGCGGAATCTGCGGAAATTCGGTGACGATAAACCAAGAGAGGTGACCGAGGATCCTCCAGTGATTCTTCCGCTCGCCGCAGCGCAGCTGTGCCGACACCATCAACCATGGCAGTGGTTTCAGCAGGATGGAGACCATCCTTGCACCGCCTTGCACCGTCCTGAAGACCATGCTTGTCTCAGAGAGTGGATGTGAGAAGTTTAATTTTCCTTGCATATTATATCAAAATTTGGACCGCATTTGGAGTGAGAAGGGCTAAAATTAGTCTGGGCCAAGATTCTTACAGATAAGGTTGGGACACCAGTCACGTGACCCTTTTTCCTGCTTTTCCCAACCCTCCTCACGATTTTCATAAGCCTTGATTTATTCTTTGAAACACTTTGCGCAGAGGCGTTTGTAGTTAATTTATTTACAAAAACTAATTCAATGATATTTTAAATTAACAAACACATATTTACTCGCAATCTCAAACAAAAGTTGAATTTATTCGCGTTTCATTAGATTTATCAGCTGGCAACCATCATCGTCCTCGATGTAGTCGAACTTGGCGCACTCGGATAGTGTTCAAAATTTGTGACGCTTACTAGTTGCTATGGCGACCGGGCAGTACCTACGCTTTTCATTCGTCAACAAGCGCTCGCGGTCACGCTTTTGAGGGTCTTGGTCTTGGTCGTGGGTTAGGGCGCATAGCCTCATCGGGCTCAGAGCGTCCGTAAATGTCTTGTTGCCACTTTCATGTCTTCAGAGTTGGTAGGTAAGACAATGGAGTACTAAGCGTGGCAGTGGAACGGAAAGGCAACAGCGTACCGGATAGAACCAGGATATAGTATTGAGGAATATTTCCAGGTAGGACAGTAGTTAATGTTAGTAGCGAACTATAAAATGGTTATGAACTTAGAGATAAAGAACTGAAAATGAAAGTAACATAAACGACCGGTATCTTTTATGCCTGGCTTTTAACAGTCAAAATAACACTCCATATACATTTAATTTGCCATTGATAAACACTCTGGTAACAATAGGTACGCTTGACTCCTCGTTAGAGTAGGAGGATGTCGTTCATCACCATAACCATCAAAACATGTCTCGATACACTGTGGTCGCAGACCAGTTGTTCAGGCCGTTTACATATGAATGCTTTGGCCGTAGTGTTTTCCTAAGCGCGCTGCGTGGATCCATGGATAGAGAGACCAGCTGGTTAGGTTCGTCCAAACTAATTAGTTTCTAAACTACGTGATCAACTACGCTCGATACTGTCTTAAGTGCCACCACCGTCGATTGTCCTGTCAGTCAAGAAGTGTACATTCATTCACGATCAGTCATACTTCCACGCACCACTTCCACATAACACAGACCACAGTACTGGTGGGACATAGCACACGGAGACAGGAGCAAAACAAAGGACATAGAACATTCATATTACATCTAGCGTGTTACATGTATATAGAGGCACTTCCATGCACACAGGCTTTTGACTCCAGCATTAGAAAACAAAGAAACACGCGTCGGGTATACATACACTATCGCACGTAAGTCGCACGTAGTCTGGCTCGGGCCTTGGTCTGGCTCTATTGTTTCTTAATTCACTGTTTACAGGCGTTTCATAAGATCACACGCTCGCAAGAAGATCATCACTTCGTTCAATATCTCAGGAAAGTCGTCACATAGCAGCGATTTCAGACACAGCTGAACCGCATGTCTCTGACACAGTTGCTGCAATGGTTGTCTCTCGTTGGCGTACATTGGACAGTCGATGAGAAAGTGCTGTACAGAAAGCAGGCAGCGACATCTTTCACACAGTGGTCTAGGCTCTCGATCAATGATATAAGAATGGGTGTACCGAGTATGGCCCAGTCTCAGACGACATAATGTAACCTCTTCTCTTCTACTGGGTCGGCTACTGCTAGACCAGTGTTCCACACGCTCCTTGATAGCTTTCAGAGTAGTGCCAGCAGGGTGATCAGCCCAGAACCGACCAAACATATCTCTGATCGTAGAGCGGATTGCAGGATAAAACTCTCGCATCCCAAGCAGTGGTGTAGTTATATCATTCAGGCTCATGGCCACCTTCGCCTGTATATCAGCCGTCTCGTTTCCTGTTATACCAGTGTGACCAGGTATCCATAACAGGATAATCGAGAAACCAGTATCAAGAAGAGTGTGGACATGGTCCAAAATCTCGGT